CAAACAAGGGGGGGCAACAAAAGCATAATTAGCGATTAGAATATTCAATAAATGTGCAATATAGCAAAAACTGTTGGCAAAAATCTAATGCGCGCACTGAGCATTCAAAATCCTAGGACATCTCAGCCCTACAAAGCGGCATTTTCTAGGGATTTGCACCCTTCAACATTCCTTTACTCCCATTTATTCTGCTCACATACTCAAGCACCTTTCCCATGTTAAGTCACCTTGTCCCCAGACTCAGATCGCATGGACCCATAGACCCCCCAGGCGCACATTAGAAACAATCCCAAAGATCCGAAAACAGACAAAATGCAAAAATAATAATAATAAAATTTTAAATTACCTTGTCTTCCTTTTCGACTTTGTCCTTCTCTTCTGCAACTATTGTCCCACAAGTGAGCTTCATACCTACCTGTCCATCTATGTCTGAATGCCAAGAAAAAAAATAAAGTTTAAAGGGCTTGTTAGCAATTACCCCATTAATGGATTTTAATTTAATTTTTCTGAGATTTTATAGTTACCTTGTGACCCCTCTGTAGATAGAGGTACGTTGTCCGAACGTATCAACAGTTCTCTTAGGCGTAGGCTCAGCAGGGACTAGCTGTTGTTGTTTCTGTGCATTTGTTTGCCCTGTGGAATACCCACGGAGGAAGCTAGCTGCTAGGCCTTTCAGCTCGGACTCGTATAGATCAGTTGGATCGGAGACCGTGACGGCGGCAGAACTAGTTTCAGTAGGAAACTGACCACCCAGTTGTGGGGGTTGCACCGCCACTCCAGTGGAACTGCCAAGGAAGTCCTCCAGCTTTGGACCACCAGTGAAAATGGACAGGTCCGTTGCACCAGTAGTCCCCCCATCTCTCTGTCCTCTTTCCACAACATTATCTGTAAGACGTACAAAATTTCCGTATCAGATAATAAACAGATAAGAATGGATGCTGCACTTGATCTACAGTTAAAAGTAAAAATAATGATAAAAAAAGGAGGAAAATAAGAAGAGGGGGGAGACCTAAGTTGGAGGTGGATGTGGTGGAGTTGGTGAAAGCTTCAAAGAGGCACAGGTGGGAAGAATCAGAGGATGGAGAGGGCAAGTTGAAGTGGGGGTTAGAGAGAGAGAAAGCAAGCCAGTTTTGAGTGGAAGAATCCACGTTGTTGTTGTTGTTGCCCATGCTGATGTTCATGGTGTGTCGTGGAGGAGCGTCAAGAATCAAGAAAGATTTGTGTTGTCTTTGGAAATAGTGGAAAAAAACCTTCAGACTTCAGAGAGACAGAAAGAGAGAGAAACCATGGGAGAGAAAGTGAAGAAAGGATGACACAGATATAGAGGTAGAAGAAAGAGAAGCACAAGCATCGAGGACTCACTTGTGCATTATTAATGCCAAAACCTAAATATAAATAAATGAGAAAGGACTTAGCTGAGCAAAGCAAGTGGAAGGCTTTTATGGGATGACTGTGCGGTGTCTCTTGACCAAAGCGCTTCATGACGTGAAATTTTTGGATTAAATCCTAAACAGCATTTTGCTTTGTCAATCTAACCCCCTAACTTCCTTTTAGGTCAATTAAGTCTATGTAATATGTACAATACCATCCGATTATTTAATTTAGATTAAACTGAAAAAGTTAAATGACTTTAAATCTCTTACAAAAACCTTATTCAGTCAGCACCATAAAAAAGCAAAACTTATTCAGTCAGTCTTCTTTATATAAAATTAAGTCTGACATAATAGTGTTGAAAAAATGAAAAAAAAAAATGACTTATCGAATATGGTCTTTTCATAATCCCATACAACTAGCATTATCAAATCAGCCTGCAAGTCGTTGAGGTATATTTATTTATTTTTTAATTATTATTAATTGTTTTTTAAATAAATTTACAAAGAATCGAATTAAAATCGTTGCTCTAAAAATAAAAAAATACATTTATACGTGATTTGATGTCACTGGATCCGAAAGGTTCAAGTGCTTAAAATTATTATCAAATTAATAAATAATAATATAATTAAAAAATACACATTAATTTATATGGTAAAAAATTAAATGAAAAAATATGTTGTTTTAATCAAGTCTTAAAAAACTTAAACTATCTTATTTTTTAAAATAAAATAAAATTATTTTAACATTTATTTATAATACTTTATTATAATAACATAATTTCAAGATCTTTTCTACTTAATTTTTGCTATACATACAAGTAAATATCTACTAATCTCATAACATAAAATATATAAAAAGATGTGATATTAAATAATTAGTTTAGGGATATTTTAATAAATTTAAGAAATTTTTTAATGCTTTGTGGTAAAATTTTGTAAAACTAAAATTGTTTCACTGAACTTAATTTA